TCGAATAGCAGCGCACTTCCCTTTTATGACGTCTGATTTGAAAATCGGGCGCTGATTTTCACCACTCGGGCTTCTTTTCAATTTCTCGAGAACTTCTTCTGTGGGTAGGTTCGCCAAATTTCACAGATACACAGCTAAAGGTACTAGCCTCCAAATGGTATAGTAGCCCGCTTCCCTATCCCCTTTGCTTTTCTGCCATTCCTCTATATGTCACGGCACTTTTGAATGGGATGACCTAATATAATACGAGCTGCTGAACGGCAGTGTTGCATTTTTTCCGTCTTGCACATACTGTTCCGTCAACCCCTTGAACTTTTTTCCAAGGTCCTGCGGCGAATCCTGTAGCGCAGGCGTGCGGAGCACTTGTCGCTGTTAGAACATAGGAGGGGTGTGAGAGAACAGGTAGCTGACCCAGGAATTGTTTTTTTTTGTGAGGAGCTGTGGACTCTGGGATGAATGGACCACTTCTCACGCGGGAAAATAGCCTCAGTTCGGAGAAGGTGTAGAACAGGAGAAAATTGGTTTGATTCGAAGGACCGAGTCCGAACAGTCCAAAGACCATCATTTTCTTCTTCGCGTCTCTCCGGCGAGGCCGGGCAGTAGACGGATGAACACACTACTGTAACGTGAAGTCAAGCTAACGCAAAAAAATGATCACAAAGATAGTGAGTGTTCTCACGTGAACTCTAAGTTTATACACCAGATCACACCGACCACGTGGTCACCCACCTCGAAGCTCCTCCTCCAGTAGATTTAACTTATACTTCGTTAATACGAAGTCAATCAAGGAAAAATACAGCAAAGACTCCAAAATTGCTCACGTTAATTTGAAACCAAAGCTGAAGGGTGTGTAGCAGTACCATCGCAGTCAAAGATCATCGTGCGACATCCCGCTCATAGAAGCGCGCGGTGTGTACGCCAGCCGAACTGAGCACCAACCCTCCCTTTTCTGCTGCCTCATTAGGACTTGCACCATTCCTCTGTTTATACTTGTCCCTGTGCTCGATGAAAGCCCCGAACTAATTATCGCCCACACGGTACGCGCGAAGAAGCGTGACGCCGCGTGTCCTGCGCCTTTTATTCTGACCCTGCTAGTATCGGTGGAAGTCTTTCGAGCCACCGAGTTATAATCAGTAGCTAAGAATATAATGTAATAGCAAAATAATATCCCAAGTTTGGTGGAGAAAGTATAGTGACGAGTGGCCCCACTTGTCATTCTAGGGAACCAATCCCGGATAGTCTCGTGCCCGAGCCAATCGGGCTCCATCCCTCTGAGGATGTTAATTGGTACCAGAGTCGTCTCACGTGTTAAAAACACTGACTTCGACATCGGGAGTTCCCGCTATACCGCTGCATGGGCCGAACCGTATTCAGAAGCCACTACAGTTCTGGAAGGAAGGGATTACGTGTAGCATCCTGAAAGATAGCTCAAGGACGGTTGAAGCTCTATCTTCCAAGCCTTCCTTATGTAGCGAAGTTTCGCACGCTCTGCTGGCCGCCAGGGTGCCGGGATGTTCTTCAACACTTGTGGCGACGTGGTCGAATAGTCCAACTCGGCTCATGGAACCAGGGATCAGGCTTGTCTTCCCTTCCGAATTTCCTTCCAAACTTCTATCGCGAACACGTTTTCCTCCCGAGCTTTACAAACTTCCAAAATTGGGGCCTGCATTAATCTGGTGACGGCGCGCCCTACCGCAGCATTCTCCACTATTCTGTCTCCGCAATAGATTCAGTCAGCTAACTTCAATTTCTGCCATTGCTTTTTCAGACGTGCTCAGCCTGAGCAAACAAGGACTTCATGGGAATTTAGGGAAAACCAGAACCAATTTATAAAAAAGCGCGTTTTTGAGTTGTTTCAAGTTTTTTTTTGCTACTGGATATGAAACGAATGGTTTTGTCTTTCATTGGAAGGTGAAGTTTTCTGCCGTGACCTTCGACTCAACTCGGAAATCTCTTTCACTATTTTTGTCCGTGCAGCTAATGGTGAGTGTTTATGCGCTCGCTAACCATTTTTCATTACAGCAAATATCGGCAACTATTACTATGGCCAAGGACATGTGATGAAACCACACAGAATACGAATGACTCATCATCTTCTGTTGAACTACGGTGTATATCGAGATCTTGAGTTTCTGTGAGTATTGTTTCGCCTTCAAAGGCTCTAACGATTCTCCAAACATTAGTGCCACTCTTTGTTCTACTTTGACCATCGTATTCGTACCGTAAAACCAGAAAAAGAGCGCTTCGCTCTGGACAGAGCCTGTCCCCTAGTCTGGCATTCAAATAAAACTACAATATCGCTCCTAATTTGTGGTCAATCGACGGTTTGCGACGGAAAAAACCGTGAATTCGGTAAAACGTCAATCACTCCTGCACTTGGCTGCATAAACAAGTGGTAGCCAGTACAGTTCATATCCCGGCATGGTGAACAGTTGAACAAGACTCAAGTGTGCGCTGCAGCGAGTGGCCCGCCGGTTTTAGGAAGAGGGTGAGGGAGGAAAGCGGCTGAGAGCTCCTAATTTATTAGGGTTGTCGGGAAAGTTCTCGATGCGGCGTTGATGGGTGTTCCAACTTTAAACGATCGCAACATTTTTTAAAACCGATCGATTTAACCGAAATAGGCCGCATTCGATATCAGCAAACGGCTTTTGGCAAATGTTGACAGGCAGTCGAGAAATCCCATCAAAGTAAAAAACTGGGTGGTCGAAAATTCACGAAATCCACGAAGGCTTTTTGCCTGGTCCTGATTGATGAAGTATTTTCCAGCAAGGGAGTTCTGAAAATGTTAGAAAGGTGATAGTCGATTGGCGAAAGGTCTGAAGAATATGGCGGTTGAGGTAGAACTTCAACCCCCAATTCGTTCAATTTATGGATAGTGATTTGTGAAACGTGTGGGCGGGCGTTGTCATGCAAAGGAATCGGACCCTTTCTTTTGATAATTGGCTGCATCTGACAAAATTTTCGGTACAATTCGTCGATTTCTTCACAGTAGGGTTCTGCTGTGATGGTTTGGCCTGGTGATAAAAAGTTATAGTGGATCACACCAGCCGATGACCACCAAGCTGTGACCATAATCTTTTTTCGTGAGGATTCGGCTTTGGAAAATTACCTCGGTTCGTCGAAATCCAACCACTGTCCGGAACGTCTCCTGTTATCATACATGACCCATTTTTCATCACAGGTGACAATTCGGCCCAAAAACAGGTCGTTTCTGCTGCGCAAAAGCAATGCAGAAGGAACCTCGAGACGTGCCGATTCCTGCCGGTCACTCCGATTGTGGGGCACCCAATTGTCGAGTTTTTTCACCTTCCCAATGCGTTCCAGACCATCTGCAACAGTGGATTTGCCAACGCCTAGCTCTTCTGCTATCTCTCGAACTGTTTGGGATGGGTCAGCCTCCAAAATCCTCGTCAGATATTGCTTTAGGTCGACCGCTATGAGGTTCATCTTCAAGGCTGAAATCTCCAGAACGAAATTTGTTGAGCCATTGCCGCACAGTGCTTTCTCTAGCACTATTGGGCCCCCACCTGGTTAATTTGTTGAGCTGTTTCGATTGCGGATTGCCCCAATTTATAGTCGAAGAAAAAAATCGTCCGAAGTGCTCTTTTCACATGCTTGAAAAAATCTTGAAAAAAGGGGGTTTATCAAGCAATGGTGAAACGGCAATTATACCATCAGATAGCGCAAGAAATTCTCTACAGGATGTGCTACTGAGAAGCAAGGCAGAATGAGTTTTTAATCAGCAGTGAATGTACAAAAATAGGTGCACAAAACGTGCAGAACTTCCCGG